AAAGACTACCTCAGTCTCTCCAGTTTGAGCGGTCAATGCTTGCATGTCTCCATCTTGACCCTATCTTTATGCTTCATCTGTGGATCACAAAAAGCATTACTCAGATTCAACCCATTATTCCAGTGTTTCTCAAACTAAGTGTGCTTAAGAATCACCTGAAGGTGGGAGAGAGTGTTGTTTAAAATGTAGATCCCTACACTGGCATGGTGGCTCCCGCCACCTATAGTTCCAGCTACTGAGGAGGCTGATGCAGGAGGATCGCTTGAGCCCTGGACTTCCAGGCTGCAGTGAGCTATGATCGTGTCCCTGCACTCCAGCCTGGGCGACAAATCAAGACCCTATCTCCAAAAAATATAAATTTTAAAAAATGATTCTTGGGGTCTCGCCCCCTTAGATTTTTATTCTAGGGATCTGAGTTAAGGCCCAGGAATCGGCACTCCAGGTAGTCTCTGGAACAAACTTCAAGAAACATCAACACCTCAACCAGAAGCCAGCACCACTGGCAACTCCCCAAGGCTTCCGCTCGGGCAAAATGGGGGGAAACCAGTGAGGGCGTTCGTCCTTCCCCGCCTCGCGCCTGGGGACTCCAGAAACCTGCCTCCGGCTGGCGCCGCCCGGGTGCGGGGACGCAGGTGGCAGGGTTAAGACCGAGGCCGAGAGGAGGGGCCCTCGGAGGCCCAGGGAGGCGGCGCGAACCCCGGGTCCCGGGGAGCCCCAGCCCGCCTGGAGCCCCGCCCTCCTCGCCCCCCACCGCGGCGCGGTGCGGTGCTTAGTCACGGTGAGGCTGCGCTGGCCCGCCGCCCGCGCCCCCCCGGCCCAGGGCCCGCCCCCCGCGGCGCGCCACTTCCGCGTGCATGGCTCTGCTGCCGCGGGTCTGCAGCGCGAGCTGGCGGCGGGCGGCGCGCGCCTTCCTCGGCCTCCCGCTACCCGCGCCCGCCCGCGCCCCGCGCGCCCTGTCCCGCGCCATGGCTGGCACGCAGAAGCCGCAGCCGCACTGCCCGCCGCCCGCCGCCGCCTGCTACGACTACCTGGTGATCGGGGGCGGCTCGGGCGGGCTGGCCAGCGCGCGTAGGGCGGCAGAGCTCGGCGCCAGGGCCGCCGTGGTGGAGAGCCACAAGCTGGGTGGCACTTGCGTGAGTACCCGGTCCCCGGCCGCGGCCCCTTGGGCTCCGCAGCCCTGCTTTGTCCCACCCTCCCAAGGACAGCCTGTGCTCTTCCTCCTGCGATCCCGTCCCCCGGCGCTGCGCTTTCCGTTTTCCTACCCCATCCCCCGGAAGCCAGGACCCTACCAGGTGGAGACGAGAGAAGCGTCAAGGGGCTTCTGTGCGGCTCCGCCACCAGAGCCGAGCCTGCGACTCTGTTCCCGCGCAGACGCCACATTAACGACAGCCGTGGCTTTGTTAAATCCAACACGACTTTCTCGCATTCTCGCTCCTCCAGGTGGGAGCGGATCGTATTCCATACTTGATCTTATGAAACACAAAATTGCCTCTGGGAAAACTGCTGGTGGCCTGTGTGTAGGACGAGGCGGGTGGCAGCTCTCCTTGAGGAA